CTGTCTTACGATGTCACTTTGGTGTAAGAAAAATGCAATGAGGGAAACAGGAAATGGCTGTTTGAGCAGGTGGCTTTTAGAATAGGTTTGACTATAATTTGAATATAATTTGATGTGGTAAGAAAGGCGAAGACTTACTCAAGAGTTTATGATTTTAAAGCCTTAAAAAAGAAACTATGAATTATTTTAAAGAAAAATCATAGCCGTTCTGTTTTTGTCAGAGTTGCCATTTTTCCGGATAAATTTAGGAATTCTGATTTTTTAAATTGTCTGAATATTTATATTTTGATCTCTTTGTGCATTCTATATATATATATATTGAACATTATATAGAAAAAGTCTTGAAACAAGATGATGTATTACACAGTATGTTCAGTATAGTTTGATTCCTCGAATGTGCATCTACGGGGTCAAAAAGTTCAGGATTATTTTATTGGGTTTGTTTAAAAGCAAGTTGGCACCTCTAAGTTGTATTTTTTTTTTGCCATAGCTGGAGCTATTCTCTTGTTGTCAGAGTCTACTGTTGTAAGGAGGAGGTCAGGGTACAAAAGGTTAAGCCTACTCAGCGGGTTTGCAAGGACGCTAGGGGGCGGTGGGATACTTGGATGTCTACGCAAGCTTTTGGAGCCGGGGCTGCTGTGCCTTGTCTTGGTTGTTTGTAGTGGGGATTGATGTGTGTTTGTGTTTGATTTCATGTGTGGAGAGAAAATATGTGTGTCTGTGTGTGTACGGAAAATGTGTGTGTACGGAAAATGTGTGTGTCTGTGTGTGTACTGAATATTCTAATTGTGTTCGATGTGTGTGTGTGTGTGTGTGTGTCTGTTGGATTTGTGTTTGTGTATATACACTAAGATCTAACTGTGTTTGATGTATGTGTATATATAATGCGGACGCATGCCTGTGCGGACGCATGCCTGTGTGAGAACATTTACGTGTACATGCGTACTTGCATATGCCCATGCGTAAGTGCAAAATGATCTGACTGCCTTTTGTACACCCCCAGATGTGTTCAAGAGGGTTTATGTGAATTTTTGAGTGCAGCTGTTGTTGTTTGTTTTTTTTGTCAGTAATCTTTGGTCAGAAAATGCTTACAGTATATTACAGTACAGTACAGTACAGTACAGAGGGATGTCAATATTACTTTGTTATCCAAGGCTTGGTCAGAACGTTCTCACTTAAAAGTTGCCTCTCTTCATGTAGAACATATTTGGTTCCGTTCTTTTCCCCGCTGGAGACAGACGTCTGTGGTGTAGCGGTTCACAGCCAGAAGACGTGACTTCGATCCGCGTTTATTGAGTACCTCCGTCTGCTGGGACGTTGTATCCCTCTCAGTTCAAGTTAGCCTGGTCAGGAAGGGTGGAGGAATCGGCCTTCCTCCTAAATGATCTAAATAGTGTCGTTTGGGGAGTAAAATTTCAGCAAATTCTTTTTACACCCACAAGAGAACAACATCACATATGTACTGAAATACTCATCGCGTCATTATGTCTCTTGGTTAATCCTGAAGGATGAAGAGTACTCTGACTGCTTAGTGTGAGATGGTTATCCGCCATTCTGAAAAGTGACATATACTGGGCAGCTGATTGGATAGGTTCATAGTTACAGGATTGCCCCCGTGGAATTAAGCAGTGAGAAAAGCTAGATTGCTCCTTGTCTCATGACATGCTGGGTAGAAAATCAGTCGACTTCTCACTTCCTGTGATTTTGTCACTATCTTGCGTTTGGCTTTAATTTTGTTGGAAATAGGTGGTTGTTATTTCTCATTATTTTGTCACCATCTTGTGAAATAAATGGTTTTTAATTTTTGTTGTTTTGTCGCTATCTTGGATGTTTGATTTACTTTATTTGAAATAGCAGGCTTTTTTCCCTTATTATTTTGTCGCTATCTGGTTATCTGGTGAAATAGAAGGTTAATATTTTTTGTTATCGTGTCGCTAGCTTAGGTTTTTGCTTCAGATTGAGTTACAGCTGAAAATAAGTAGTTGCTGTCATGAAGGTGTGAAATTGATGTACATGTGAAGAGGTAGTCGTAACCACAGCTTGTGTACATTTATTCTATATACGCACTAGGCAGTATTGGGGGAAGGTTTTGAATGTATTACTCCTTTTTATCAATTATGCTTTTACAAGAAGTGCTCATTTTACTTACGTCCTTGTGGGGGACACTTTGCGAGGGTCTTCGGTCTTCATTCTGTTGCTGACTGCTACTACAACCTTAAATCGGAGTACCTTGTTCAGAAATCAACTCATGGAATATCAGTATTACGTAAATGATGATTTGAAAAAATATCTTTTTTGCTCGCCTGATTTTATTTTTTTGCGCAATGTTTTATGCGAATGATGTGGGTGTGGGTGGATGGTCGATGGTGTGACTATTCTACTAGTGCTTTCCATATTATTTTTTAGTATTGTTTTAAGCTCTCAATTCTTTGCGATGTTCATTGTAGTTATATTTGTTTTAGAAGCAGCCAATGAACGCATTTATTTTTGTAAGACCACATTGAGGGTTTTTTTATACATGATGGGGAATACATGATGGGAATATACAATAATTTGGCGAAGTTCCTGGAAATATTGTTGAGCTCTTGTTAAGGACAAGAGCACAATTGTTAAATACACACGCACCATGAGAGGGTTTGCAACATAGAACTGAATGCGTGCGACCAGCCTCTGTGATGTAGTGGTTGTACTCTTGGCTCTCCAAAGACATGGGTTCGATTCTTGGATTCCTGCATGAGTTTTTATTTTTGTATCTTTATCTGTCTGCTGGGACATTGCAACCTGAGGAGAGTTCCCTCTGTCGTGGCCACCGCTTGTATCAAGCAACTGGCAGTCGCAGGCGTCAGTTTGCCATGAGATTATTCTTTTACTTCCATTTGTGGTTGCCCACGTGTGAGACTGCGTGTACTGAGTTCAGTTGTACTCCGTGTATTATAACTGAGTTCAGTTGTAATGTGTGTATTATAATTGAGTTCAGTTGTACTGTGTGTATTATATTTGAGTTCAGTTGTACTGCATGTATTATGACTGAGTTCAGTTGTACTGCATGTGTATTATAACTGAGTTCAGTTGTACTGCATGTATTATAACTGAGTTCAGTTGTACTGCATGTATTATAACTGAGTTCAGTTGGCCTGCATGTTATTATAACTGAGTTCAGTTGTACTGCATGTATTATAACTGAGTTCAGTTGTACTGCATGTATTATAACTGAGCTCAGTTGTACTGCATGTATTATAACTGAGTTCAGTTGGGCTGCATGTATTGGTTTAAGAGATTGAATGTCTTGTATTGTTTTGGGTTTTGCAATAATTGATAACCTTGTGTACAGATGTAAATGCAGCATTTACTGGAGAGTGGGGCTTGTAGTGGCCTATCCACCATGTGTGGTACTAGCTGACTTTGTGAGCTGGATGCATTCTTTTATATGTGCATTTCATTTGTACACTGATTTGTACAAAGTTTTGTGTGTGTGTGTGTGTGTGTGTGTGTGTGTGTGTGTGTTGTGTTTGCGCTTGCACAGAGGTGTGGGTGCACTCAAGAATTGGGGAAAAGAATGACTGGAGAAATATATTATAAATAAATGCTTCAAAATCTGAATTTGTCATATATATATATGTGAAGAGAAAGAGAGATAACCCATATCTTTTTGTTTGTTTTTTTGGGTTTCTTTTGAATGCAATGTGTTCAGAAGGGGACTCCACGAACTGGGCAGTTTGCTGTTCTTGTACAATGTGCCCCCTTCTGACAGTTACTTATAAGTCAGGGACATCAGCTCCAGAGTGTCCCTTATGATAGTCTTGTCATTGATAAAAAAACAGAGATCTCAGCTCTGGCAGGTCGTCACCTCAGAACTATTTTGTCTAAAGTGTGCTTATGTAAAGAGACACTTTGGACCCCATGGGGCAGTGCCACTGACTGTAGTGTCTTTAGGCCATTCCCAAAGGGGGGACATTTCTCGTTCAAGCATAGTAGAATTGTAAATGGGCTGATTCATGTCAAGCTCATAACTGTGCCTGATCTACAACAGGGAACTGCTGCTTTTTCTTTCCTGATCCTTACTATTGTCATTTTCCTCTACTTCTTTAGTATGTTTGTCACTCTCTTGTGACCTGCTATTTCCGGGGTGCCTTGATAGTCGAAGCAGACCTTGTGCTGTTGAAGCTGGAGAGGTGAGCAGAATAAGTCTGATTCCCTGTAAAGACTTCTCTGTTGATACCCACCCCTTGGAGCTCATATGACCTTATGCAGTTGTGAGCGCCGTAAAACCTTTTTTTTTTTTTAAAAAGACACTTTGGACAAAATGGTTTTGAGGCGACGTGGTGATGATATTCCTACAGGGACGTGGTGATGATTATTTCATGTCACAGACACAATGTTGAAATTTTCTCACCGCAACCCAGAGACTGAGAGCCTCTTGTCTTGTTCCCTGTGTACAATCAATTCAAAACAGTTGTGGTATATATATTTATCCTGTCTCATGGTAGCGAGGTGTTTTGCATCTTTGCTAAGGTTTTTGGCCTTGATACTCAAGTGTTGTGGATGAGGATCTGTCTACTTAGAGCAAACTCGTAGCTTTTTGTTTCCTATCTCTGAGTGAGCTACTGTTGACATTTCGCAACCCCAGAATAACGAGATTTTTTTTTCTCTCAGTTACTCTCACTTTGGAGATATTTGAGTCCCATTTTCGCACACCATATCTTCTGCACTTGAAGAGCAAAATTAACATGGTTTTATCTCAGGAAATAAAGGAAAAGGAGATTTAACGTTGACAAATTATGACGTAGACAGAGGGAGGACAGAGGGGAGGCCCCACACACTTTAACTCCAAACACAAAAGGTTCCAAGTTAAAACCTTGTTATTCTGTGGTTGTGATTTTGTAGTTTTGTGCCTAAGTTGGACTTATTGTTCTTTTATTTTGCAATAATTTGAGTTCAGTTTTCTCACAATACAACAGGGGGGAGGGGGTGGGGGCACAGACTACAATTCCAAACACAAAATATGGTATTCTGTGGTTGTGATTTTGTCAAGTTTTATGCCCAAGTTAGAAACATTACTCCTTTATTTTGCAATAATTTGGTGTTTCAGTAGATGAACCTGTCACTTTCCTGTGCCTGTCACTTTCCCATTTACCATGGGAAAGAAGAGTAAAAGGATTAGAGGTCCTTTTTTTCGTGAAAGGTCATGAATTGTAAGGTGGAATTCTCCATTATTTAAAGTTACAATTTTGCACAAACGTTACATTTTCCTCTTTCCCTTTTATCAAGACATTAGACCTATATATGTGACAGTTTCTCATTTCTTTCTTTTTTGTTTATGTATTTGATGACTTACTCATCAGGAAAAAAGAAATCCTTAAAAAGTAGAAACAGTGGAAAGAATTGTAGTTGTAGTAGTAGTCCATCTTAAAATTCATGACCTTTAGTTTTTGGGATTTTTTTTCTGAAAAGAAACCAACTGGATTATGGTAGTTTTGAGCTTTTGACTTACAATTTTTTTTGTGTCTAAACCTTTCACTTTCGTTTGATTCTGGCCTCTGATGAGAGGGGCTGAATCAAGTTTACCAAAAATTCTTCAATTTATTGGAATAGATCTAGTTGAAGTAATTTGTGGCCTCCTGGAAGAAGTGGGAGGAAAGAAGGAAGAGTGTGTGTGCTTGTATAATTACGTGTCTGTACTCTCCGAGCATGCTTCTTCGTCTGTTAAAAAAAAA